TATATATATATATATTAACATTGAATAATTCTAAGGCCTTATTTTTCGGGGTCTAAAGTCATTGCTTCGGTGGCTTTTAGGTTGAATTGCCCTATATGAACCTGATGCATATACAATTTTTTGTTTGTTGGAAGACATACATAATCAAAGAAATGTTTATAGTGTATTCATAATATACTTGTTAGTAAGAATCACCTACTTCCATGACATCTCTGAGAAAATTTGGCACCAACTTTACCAAATTGGTGTGGATTTTTGAGAGAACATAAAAAAGTTGATATTCATCTTTTAGTGTGCTTCTCAAGATTATTACAAAAATTATCTTTACAAAGAAAGTGACAAAATGAATAAGGGATCACGAGGATGACCAAATGTTGATAGGAAGAAAGTTGTGGGTATTTGTGTTAGAATATAGTGTATGAACCTTAGTGCCATAAGAAGTGTGTAAAGTTAACATGAAACTTCCCTTCTATTGATTAAAAAACTATATTGTAAAAATACTAATTAAGTTACAAAATTCATATTTCGAAGCTGATCAAAAGCTACTTGATGAAAGACAGAATTATTTAAAAGATACATTTTGTTGCTCGAGCTTTGAATATTGGAATATTAATTAAGAGCATTTCTAGGTTCAGAAGAGGATGTTTGTTTGTATTGTATAGAAAAGGACAAAATGTTAAACACATGGTAGACTTCATTTATGAAGTTGTAATTCCAAGATAACAGGTATTGTCTGTAGGAATCTTTCTTATAAATATATACTAACTTTTTGGCTCTTAATTACTCTCCCATCCCATTTTATATGTCATCCTTTTTTATAAATAGTTGGTCCATAATACTTGTTATTTCATAAAATCAATGCATAAATTACCATATTATTCCTTTTTTACCTTTGTGAGTAATTAGCCTTGAAAATATACATTTGACCAACTTAGAAAAACTAAGTAAATGATTCATGTTCATTGGTTAAATTAATTAATCAAAATAAATTAATTCATATTCATTGATTGAAAACTTGAGTTCCAAAAAATTAAATAAGGGTAAAAGGGTAAAGTTACATCATTTCTTAATGCATGCAAGTGCAAAGTAAAAAGGTGACATATAAAATTGGACCGAGGGATTATATGCGTGGACTATTCGCGAATATTTCTATCGTCACAAAATAAGTGTTATCTTGATAAAAAAAATTGTCCCAAAAATTAGTATGTTATACTTCATCTTCTTAATAGTGTGATTTTCAAAAGACATTTATTAAAAAGGATAATTTAATAAATTACACATTACCATTTTTTAATAAACATAATTTTTACTAAGATGACACTTATTCTAAACGGAATGAGTGTTATATAACAATATATCAAAAATATTCTTTGAATCTTGTCATGTTATACCCAATGACTTTTGCCGAAATTCTCATTCCTTTTCTCCATATATATATATATATATATATACTTAGTTTTTCGACACGTGCATTGCACGTGATTATCAATTCAGAAAATTTAGGTGAACATTTGAATAATAAGCTTTGCAGAAAATAATATTGTAGATTTTTTTGTAAATGTTCAATGTGGATTGTCATATATATATATTATTCACACAAACCTATGAAGATGGTCAATGAAAAAAATTATTAGTTAAATGCAATAATGTATATATTTATTTCAATTTGATGAGGTTTAATCATGTAATTAGTCGTATCTCACTAATATTACCTTATAGACGATATTTGTTGTGTATTCTTGTCATCTAACTAGATGTGCTTTGCATGTGTATTCCACTTAATCTGTTTAGATGTCATATGAACATGTGGAAACAACTGTATTTTATTTTTTAGAACTATTTTTGTGTATTAATTTTTATTTAATAAGTTATATCATAATAGATGACGTTCTTTTTGTTGGCTCTCATATTTGACTTCTTGATTGACTGTGTACATAAATCAAAGATAGTTTTCTAATTGTCCATAGTTAACTGAGAAGGTTTCTTTTCTTTTTACAGAAAAAAACAAAAAATTAAAATTAAAGAATATATTCTATCTGTGAAATCATATATATAATCACATGTTTGTTTTACACCCAACAAAGATATAGTTCATATACTTGTAAATAATTTTCAATTTATTCAACCAAGCATGATTCGTCCAAGGAATAATAACAATATCGTGTTATCACGTATATAGGGGTGGTATAATAATATGAAAACTTATTGTTCAAAAGTTAATATCAGGAAAGATGAAAGATAGAAATAATTAATGTATTAACTATGAGATTCATGATATTATAATTAAAGCATGTAAAAGAGTGTAAATACCATTTGAAATAATTAGTAATAACTAATATAATTTATAATGTTATAACTAAAGAATTAATATTCAATAGATAAATTTCTAATAAATTTTATACTTACATAAATAAATAGGACTTTTAATTAATGTTTAGATTTTAATTAAATGTAGGGACAAAATGAAAATGTTTATTCTATATTACTGAATATAAAATTTATTTTGTTAATGATAAATTTTAAATTATTCATATATATTCACATATTTTCACATCTGTTGTGAGTTTTTTTTGTTCAAAAAAAAGAACTTGAAATTTTTTAAAATAATATATTTTGAAGTTAGAAGATCTTGTTAACTTGATAATACATTCGTGACATAGATAAATATCTACCCAAATTTATTTATATATATATACACACACACACACACATATATATATTTGCATTAATGAAAATATTTATCTCATAAAAATTAGCTATTAAATAAATAATAAAAATTGAACTAATACAAACTTCAACTGGAGTTATTAGTAGTCATATGAATTTTTCTTCGTCGAAAATACTGAAATATGAAGAAATAGTAAATTAGTAAAACAAAAGGGAAATGTTTACTTAGTAATAACTCTTTTGAAGCAAACTTCCTGACAATCTAAATCACATAAGTAGCATTGATAAATAAAGTCATTTTTTTTGTCTTGAGCATCAAAAAAAAATCGTGACAATTCTATAACTCTTGAGAAGTTTAATAATTTTGGAAAAAGATATTCAGAAACATATATCTACATCACAAAAGAAATTGTTAACAAAAACAAATGAATGTACAATTAAAATTTAACTATTACAAACTTCAACAGGCATTATAACAAGTCATATGATATTTTCTTCGTCGAAAATACTGAAATAGTAAATCAATAAAACAAAAGGGCAATGCTTATATAGTAATAACTATTTTGAAGCAAATTTTCTGACAATCTAAATCACATAAGTAGCATTGATAAATAAAGTCATTCTTTTGTCATGGGCATAAAAAAACAAATCATGGCAATTCTCTAACTCTTGAGAAGTTTAATAATTTTGGAAAAAGATATTCAGAAGCATATATCGACATCATAAGAGAAATTGTTAATAAAAACAAATGAATTTAGACTACAATAAAAATTAAATCAATACAAATTTCAACTGGTGTTATTACAAGTTATATAAATTTTTCTTCGTTGAAAATACTTAAATATTAAGAAATAGTAAATTAGTAAAACAAAAGGGCAATGTTTATATAGCAAACTTTCTGACAATCTAAATAACATAAGTAGCATTGTTAAATAAAGTCATTCTTTTGTCTTGAGCATAAAAAAAAAGAAATCTTGATAATTCTCTAACTCTTGATAAGTTTAATTATTTTGGAAAAAGATATATATATCTACATCACAAGAGAAATTGTTAACAAAAACAAATGAATTTAGACTACATCATGTTAACTTCATATATTGGAACATTACATATTAATTTATATACTAAGCAAAAAAATAATTATTATATCATCATAATTATTTTCCACAAGTATTCGAGGTAAAAGAATATACCCTCTTAGAATAGAACAATTTACTTGATCAGAATAGTGGTACCTCATATTCTGCTAAACTTCGAACTCACTCAACGACAATAAATCACACGAAATTTTTTAAAATGCAAGAAGAAGAAGCGGTCAAGATTAAAAAAAATTGTGGTTGAAAAATGAGAGGAAATTCCTCTATTTATAGTCAACAAATGGTAGTATGAACAAGTATTTTTTGTGTCTTATCTGAAAAGTCATGACCTTTCCGAGAAGTCACAACCCTTTGGAAAAGTCACAACTTATTGAAAAAGTCACAATTCTTTGGAAAAATCACAACTCTTTGGAAAAGTCATTTTAGAAAATTCACGACTCATCGAAAAATCAACACCCTTTGAAAAAAGTCACGACATAAGTTAGGGATATTATAGTAATTTATCATTCAAGTTAGGAGTTCATGCTTTTAAGGTAATATATATATATTACAATATATATATATATATATATTAGAATGTCCGATTATCATCAACGGTAAAATGAGAATGTTGAAATTTAAAACTCAGTAGTACTAAATAAAGAGAAAATTTTCTTTTAAACGAAAACTAAAAAAGAAAGCATGAGTAAATTGAAATGTTGAGACTATCTAGTTTAGTTTTTCTCTATGTTCCTCCGTATATGTACTGAGTAGGAAAAGAATGGAATGCTCTTTCTTCTCAATGAAACTAAGTTTCATCCCTGATTAGTTTTACTAAATCTTATGCAAATATTAACAAACTTTCAAAATTCAACAAGTAATCATGGAAAGGATAAATGATCAATACTCTCCCCAAGTGATTGCACAAACAAAAAAAATTCATATATTTTTCACACCCTTCGTTAATTAGTAGTTTAGTACCTCAAGCAAAGTTGTATGTTAAAATGTATAATACTGATTTGCACAAGGAAATAGTGAAAAACATCGTAAGTATATATCATTAAGACTATTCTTGTCAAGTTTAGGATAGTTTCCAACATTTCTCTCGATTTTTTTATGTCAGGTGAAATGTGGCAGATCGGTTCAGATAAAACGAAAAACAAAAATATTTTATTGGCCCATATGCAGATCTCGAACCTGCGACCTTCACGTTATTAGCACGACGCTCTAACCAACTGAGCTAATGGGCCTGATTACTTGCAACTTCTCTTTAGTTTAATATATAGCCGCTTTACTTTGATGGGTGTAATTGATCACTTATCCAATTGTAACTTTTTTGGAGGGTTAACAATACTTTTTTAGAAAATGTAAAATTCAATTCATCATCCAATAATATCAAAAGTGACTTCAATTATCAAATGATTGAACAATAATTATTGGATGCTATTTTCTTATAATGTAAGATGGTGTTCCTATGATACATACTGTCAAAGGCCCACATTTTTTTTAAATTTTAGCCCCACATGTATTTAATTATTGATTCTGTTCTAATAATAATAAGTTTGGAGCAAAAGAAAAAAAAACTCATAACCTAAATTTAATCAAAAGCGTCCTAATTATACTTAAGAAACCAAACACAAGATGTTAAGCCAAGCAATTTGTCAATTTGAAACTCAAATATAGAGTACACACCAAAGAAAGTATACTTGCTAGGCTAACAAAATACAAACCGTGAGTGGATCAGTTAATTTCCTGGAAACAATAAGAACAACCTCAATACTGACGAAATGGAGTTGCTCGGACGGTAAGTATCCTCACTTTCAATTCGAAAGTTGTGAATTCGAGTCACCATGGGAGCAAAATTCAGAACCTGTACGTACGTGCTCAATCAATCTATACTTGCTTAATAATTACGTAACGTCGATGGAACGTCCACCTCCTCCAATGGACTCGATCCTGATGGACTTTGCAGTACAATTAGGATGTAAATGTTTCATACACAACAATAAAATCATAGACAATAAAAAAATTGTAAAGAGCAGTACAATTACAACCAACATAATTTGGCCATGGACAGCAAAACTATGATCCTTCCCAGAAAAAATTACATCTGGAACGTCTATGGATGGTGAAAATTGAGTGGAAGACATCTTTATAAACAAATAAAAATAATTATTATGATTTTTATTATTTTTGGTAGGCATTAATTAGAGATTTATAATACTAGTTAGTGTCTTGGCTTGTCATGTAGTGGGATGGGTCATATTTTGTGACTCATTGATTTTGACCCAACTTGGGATTATTTTTCAGAGATTATAGTCTGAAATAAATTTTATTAAATTAAAAAAAAAAGGAAGTACGTGAAATCGCCACAACAAATAAAAGATTTTGCAGTAAGTGCTTCATATAAATATCGTTAAAGGTCTAATGACTCTGAATACATTAATAATGTTAACTCAATTATTGTTAAATATATTTACGATAATAAATATTACCATTAAAAGAAAAATATATTATCATTAAATATCTTTTTCTATCATAGTGAATTAAAGTAGTTTCAATAATTATAATTTAGGAAAACGACTAAAATAGGAGTCAAGGCCACCATAAGATTGGGCCATGATGAAGTACGCTGAAGGAATAAGATTTCAACAGCTAAGATAATATAGTACTAAGGTATCAAATCTGATGTTTGAATGTCGGGGGAAAAATACATTAGAAAATAGAAGAATTAATTTAAATAGTGGTTCACAGAATTGATTAAATTAAAAGTAATATCTGTAGAATATGTATATGATCATGTATAGTCTATGTATATTCATTAAAAAAAAGTAAATAATAAGTCTGCTCATTTATTTAAATAAATATCTCATTATAATATACTAGACTTATTGTTGTATCGTTCAAATTTTGAGAGAGAATTTTTTTTAAATTTTTTGACATGAATCTGGATATGTGATTTTTTTTAAAAACAAAATTATGAAAAATATTACTAATATAAGTTAAAATAACTGATAATTAAAATATTTACCAAACATATGAAAGAATTGCGGTAAAATATTTTTTTGTTAACTCTCAAAATTCTTAAAGGTCCCTTATAAATTGGGACAAATAAAATATTTATATTATTTTACTGCTATTAATTATAGGAGGCTAGTTTTATTATCTTGGTCCTTTTTGGCTTGCCATGCCATTGGGATGGGACAGTGGGTTCATGTCCCAACAATAAGACCTTGAGTTTAAGTCTCAATGAATTATATTATAATATATCTTGAAAATTAAGACAAAATTATGTGTTTTGATGAATAGTCATGAAGCTTGTTCTATTGAATTTACTCTATTTTCTAATCCAATATAATATGGTAGCAGTACATGAGAAATTTAAAAGATGATAAAACAATTATGAATATGACAAAAGACAAAATAAATAATAGTTATTATTGAGGTAATATGAAAGGAAGAATAATATGGTTCCTCAAAATGGTCCTCCAAAAGATGAAGATATTTCTTGTCATTAATTTGGTGTGAAAAGGTATAAAGTATATGGTCGTTATATAACCTAATTTGATAAGTTTATATAAGCAGTATAATACATAAATATATTATTTAACTTGACTTTAGTTGACATATATACCCTCCAATTTTGTGTGTGTATAAGTAGACACTTAAATTTGTATAAAATTGAATAAGTATATAAGTTTAAGTGTCTACTTATACATATCCAATAAGTAAGAAACTCACTATTTTTTTCAAAAATATATTTTCCTTGTACCAAACACACCCTTAAGTCTAAAGGGTCTTTCTAGTCTTAGGCCTCATTTGTTTTCATTAAGATTAAGACGTATGAATTTGAATGCACATTTGAATATTAAGATGTGCATTACGATTAAGGTATCTGAATGCACATCTGAATATTAAGATGTAGTTTCTAGGTCTGAACACTGAATTATTAAGATTGTTTGTTTTCAATATCGAGTATGTGCATAATTTATTTATTTTAAAAATTAGGAATTAAACACTATATCAATAAAATTTATAATCCAAAAAATTGTTTCAAGAATAAGATTATAACCCACCGCAAAAAAAAATGATTTATTTGTTTTCTCAAACAATTTTTTTCTCAAGAAACAATGATAACTTCTTTCAAAGAAGTTTCGGCAACAAAGGAATTGTGACAAAAAAAGTTCTTCATAAATATCAATTCACCCAAGAATATTGTTATATTAAAAATATTAGATAAATACTTGTAAAAGATTATGAAAACTTACTTATTCAAAAGTAAAAAATGGTATTTGATTGAAAAAGGAGAGGAAGAAACTTGAAACTTGCTCAAAAGATAAGCAAGGAAGAATAGAATTTGTTTATGAAAGAACATTTATTATTTTAATGGAGTCTAAATGGTATGACTCTGTTATAGATCTGATTCATTCAGACTCATTAAGATCCATTAAGAGGTTTTCTTTTAAAAACAAATGAACTTAATGGATTGAATATGAATGATTAAGATTCAGCCTAAAAATCATTGAGGCCTTAATTCATTTCTCCTTCTATATTCTTTCCTCTCTTTCTAAGGACTACTTTTTAGGTTATTTAATTCATATAATCCTAGATTTTAATTTTCTAAAATTAGTCAAGCACAACATGTCGTGCTCAGATACACTTCTTATCTGATTATGTCAGCCAAAACTTTAATACTAATTTAGCTGATAAGATGAAAAATAAAAGAGGACTAGTTAACTAGTACGGAGTAAACTAAAATGCATATAAAAACAAACTCCTATTTTCCCTATCTAATGCTAATGCTAATGCTAATTAAATAATGTTATTTATAACTATTTTAATGATTATGTAAGTTGAAACTTGAAAGCAAGAATTATTATATTTCAAAGTTCAAACTTGTATAAAAGTCTCACCAAGTCACCATCAATTCCTTAGTTGTTGGCACAAGATGACTAGTTGGACATTTTATATAAGTATTTATTTTATTTTTCTAAGTAAGACAAGTCAATAGTATGTAAAAATTGACTTGTCAAAATGGAAGCTTCCTCATTACTTTCATTCACATGCCTCTTGTCACAACCATAGACTCCCTTGACCTTTGCTCTCCTTGAAATGTTCCAATTCTACACATGGCTGCGTCGCATTGAGGTCCATTGATGACCACTTCATCAGGCTTTCTCATTAATTTCTAGTTACTTACCTACCGTTTCTATGTATTCTTCTCATGAATTTAAGTTAGTTTGATTGGATACCAGAGTTAGAGGAACGGAAGGTTCATTTAAACTTTTTTCTATCGGAAAATTACCAAAGATGACTTTAAAAAAAAATGTATATATGATATATAATGAATTTCTTGGTGAAAATTATGTCTTAGCCATCGGATATAGATAAGAGGTTACTAGATCGACTTATTAGTTATGAATAAAAGCATATTATTGTAGGTCAAACTTTATAAGAATGTGTACGATTGATGTATAAAACCTAAAAACTCTATTTCAATTTGTACGAAGCTTCACAACTACTTCATAACACTTTCACACCAATTTCTCTAGTATAGTCACTTATACCACTTCTCTGTATTCTAATCATCAATTGATGTATAGTAATAGTCAATAATTCTTTTGGGTGTTACAAGTGTAATTTAATCATATACTATAATAACTTGATATCAACTGTTATTTATGTGAACTTGTATAAAAATTGAATAAGTAAACACACACTTTGTACATAACATAATATGTGTCCTTCGTGATATAATATAAATTAGTTCAAGTGTATCTCACACGAATTGTCATGTAAGATGTTTGTATGTACTTGTTCAATTTTATACAAATTTAAGCGTCTACTTATGCACATCTAAAATTACAGAACATAAATATCAACTGAATTTATTTTTCAAATGAGGAAATAAGAAATTATTACATGCTTTCTCAGTCAACTTTACCTGACCATGAAAATTGTGTACATTGTTCTGGTCAACTGAACAAGCTCCATTTAAACAAAACAGAGCATATAATATATCTCATCAAATAAAATTTCAAGAAGCTCTGAAAAATAATTAGCCATGTCCATACCAGCAGGAGCATATCAAGCAGACTTACCAGCAGTTCCACCATGGCTAAACAAAGGCGACAACGCCTGGCAAATGACTGCAGCGACCCTCGTTGGTCTGCAGAGTATGCCAGGCCTTGTCATCCTTTACGCCAGCATTGTCAAGAAAAAATGGGCAGTTAACTCTGCTTTCATGGCT